CAGGCTCGACAGGAGTTCTTCAACTGCGCACATCTGAAATCACAGAAGCCATCAATTCAATCTATGCAATAACAGGTATTAAATTTAAATCAGTAATACCAGAAGGCACAAATTAATAGAGTCACATCCTGCGTACAATCGTTTCTCCTCGAAGAATACAATCTTCGGAGAAGCTAGTTCGTTATTCCACTCCGGTCCGAAAATGGCGGGCAACTTGGAGGGCTCTAGGCAGGAGATGACAGGGGCCGCAACAGGACTGCTTCCACCAGACTCCATTGAAGCAGAAGAGGCAGATGAGTAGACGTAAGCGTCATCAGCTGAGTAAAATCCACCGCGAGAGGGTCTGTAATCATCAGAGGGGTAGGTAGACTGCGAACCCGGGAAGAACATGTCACGATTAGGCTGTCCATCCAGATCGTTCTCAAGGTTGGGTCCGGGTGGGGGAAAGTGGCCATGCTGCTCGTAGGTGTGGCAACTGGCCAAGATCGGCCGGTAACCAGGTAACGTCGGATCGGGGTCTGTCGCAGTGGTGACGTTCTGCAAGCAAAGGACATCGTGTAGACTAGTTGACGTAAGGCACTAACATCAAAAGAAACCAGTTAACTGACGCACACGCGTTCATTCCATAAAGTAATCTAGTTATACACTGATCCGTCTATGACATGAGCCGCGAGACAACGCACAAGATGTGTTACCAAAAAGACTAAAGAAGACTGGTGTAGTCGCTTCCGATTTAGTTACCATCCTCAGCCAGCCACTACAAACCCACAGGCTAAGAAAACCTGAAACGTCAGGCGGGATCCAATTTGCTAAGTTATTTGCCGCTTGATTAGCTGAGAAAAGAGATTGCGGTCGTTGTTTGTGGTCGGTGCTTACGTGACGTCTATTGGGACCTGGAACGGACTTCTCGAGGACATTATAATGGCGGACACGACAAACGCACTCAAATGTAGACGTAATTATGTTCACTTGAAAGATATCGTTTATCCGGAGAGGAAGGCACAGTTTCAACATACCAAAAAACTGTGCTGATACCTACAAATGCTATGCTGTTATTCATTTTTGATATATTTCATGCCGATTCTTTTAAGATGACCGTGTTTAAATTCTAATTACAAAATAATTCCTCCGTGTAAATATGGTTGTTACTGTTTTATAATAAGACATCTACTTGATCGTGAATATTTTTGTGTGCAGTTTCTAATAGGGTCTTCAAGTGTAGTGCCAATTACCCTTAAATATACCGAAGTATTCTGCACTAATGTTTCTGAGGGACATTTTAGATTAGGGGGTAGCATACAAAAAACGCACAACACGCTCACTGACATGATCGAAAAAAACTTAGCAGAGAAATATCTAGTAAAAGGTCAAACAAAAAGCTGACATAAGCGGCTTACTCTGTGGACAAACATAGTTAAATGATAAAGCGGAGGGATTGGATAGGGACAAAGACGAGCGAGCGTTTCATTGGCCCTGTGCATGTTCTGGTAGTCGCCCAGACGGGAGGAGTCCTCGCCAGGATACCAGCGGCGTGAGCTGAAGTCACCGGTGCCAGCGCTCAATGACTCCTGATTGGCTGAGGCTAGAAAGTGGAGATTGTCGTTGCTGGAGGAGTGATTCACCGGTTCCAGAATCGGTTCTAAGTTCACCACCTCGAATTCCAGCCGAACCTTTGGGTAGGGGGAGGGGGGCGGAGAGGAACTTGGTTTAGATGGATAAATCAGTCAGTATCAGTAAGTATATTTGGAGTAAATGACCGAAGCCCTTAAAAA